TTTTGAATATAATTAAAGACTGTATTGGTTTTTTTTTTGTCTACCTTGTAGATGAATCATATCCAGTATTTTCTGAAAAATCCGATCCTATGTTTGTGTCAATTAAAGCTTTATACATCGGTGATGCATGACCATCTAAAAGAAGATATGCAAATAATCTCAAAGCAAAAGTTTCAACAACATCCTATTAAAAAAAATTTTTTTTTAATTAATCTTATATAAACTTCTATAAATAACAACTAGTTTTTATAATAAAATTAGAATTTACTGTTATATCATTTGTAAGAAAAGAAATAGACATTTTTGTCTGTTTTTCGGGATTATTCACTAAATTCAAAATTGAATTATTGTTTATATTAGAAAATTAATTAAATTTAGAATGAATATTAAAGTAAAATTACTTGGATCAATAGGTCCTTGAAAAACTATTCTTTGAGGTTTATCAAATGATTTAACTATTTTAATTCCTTTATCAGGAACCAATTTTGTAAAATCTTTAATTTTATTGTTAATAGCAATCAAATGATTTTCCAATGAAAAGTTGCCTAAATTAATAGTTAAAATTATTAAAATTAATAATAAATTAAATCTTAAGTGAGATAATACACACATACCATATGTATAAAATTTTGCATTGCTTGGATGATAATGGGATTTATGAAAATCTAAAAGTTCTTGATGCGTTAAATCTGTGATGTTCTTTGGTTCACCACCACTATTATATCCATAAGCTGTTCCTGGATACATAGATTGTTGAACTTGGGAATAATACAAGTATCCTGCGTCTGACTAACATATAAAATTTTCATGATTTGACTCAATATTCCGTCGGAAAATAAGCAAATTAGATAAATTTTAAAATATTACCATCTGTCCTTTCATCTCATTATATACAACACCTTTAAATTGTAAAGGTGTTGTCTTATCTTCACCATAAAAGTGAGATAAACGTTATTATTATTATTATTATTATTATTATTATTATTTGAACTTCAATTATAAAAATTATTTTATTTTGATGTTTATTACCGTGAGGAATTTGATGCTCAAGTCGCCATCCCTCTTGCTTAAAATCTAGTTCTCTTAAATGAGGATGAAAGGTTGCATCCATATAAACATCTCTCAAATTTTCATAATCCAATAGGTGAGTTGTAGAAAATGGATATATTGTATAATCATTTGCTGAGATATACATTTTAATTAATAAAAGCGAAAATTATTATATAAACTTATCGATTTTGGTTAATTATTCAAATATTTCAAACCTGTAAAAGCATTCATGAAATTTGCCAAGCTACGATTTAACATTTTAAAAAAAGGATCTCGTACAGGAAATTTTTTACTGCCACATAACGTGGTATGCTCCTTTTAATACAAAATTTGATTGAAATTTAAAATTTTAATTAATTTGTAAAAAAAAAAAAAAAAAGTATTACCAAAATATGCGGAGTCCCACTACTATTCATAGGTGGTGTTGAGAACCCCACACCAAAGACATTATTATCATCATCACGAGCAATATGTAAATGTTCTGCGCCAGTAGCTTCGTGACGAAGCTGTATCGCTGTAAGTTCAAGTTCTGGTATGTGTCTTGACTATAAAACTGCCACGTGAGAAATATTTATTATTACTGTACTGATAAAGAATGATAAATTTACCTGTTCGACAAGGAACCCATGTATCCGATCTTTCGATTATGATAAATTTTAATAAATAAAGAAAATCAAAATGCTATTCTCTAATCAGATTAATCAATCATTCTATAAATAAAATATAATGCCACCTCCGCTTATAATAGAATAATTCCTTTGATTAATTATTTGTCGTAGATAATAATTTTGATTAGTTATCGGCTGTACTTTCAATGCACAACGTCTGATAAATAGGAAATTCATTTTTTTTTCTAAACAGATTGGAAATCTGACAATCTTATCCTTATCGTTATCGTTATACGTAATTAAAAATCATGTGATATTATCGTTTCATCTAAAGATGGGATTCGTCGACGATTGTGCTAAAGTTTCAGTTAGCTGTGTAGCTGTTGAGGATGGCAAAAAATTTTTTATTTCTGTACCTCAAACCGATGAAAATATCCAAGGAAAGCTAAGGGTATCAAAAAAACAATTTAATTATTAAACCGAGAAAGATAGAGCTGTTACCCGGGTCGAAAAGTAGCAATTCGGGTCAAACCCAGATTAAAAATTTTCGACTCGGGTTATGACCCGGGTCAAAAGTCACATAGGTCAAGCTTGATAATTTACAATTAAGTTGTATATGTGCTTGAGGTTGCCTTGAGATATAAATATTTAAATTGGAATA